CGTTCACTCCAAGATAAAGAAAACGGACAGACAATATAATATCAATAAAGTTCATTTTACTACATCAGTCCCGCTGGGATTTATTTTATCTTTGTGGCTAACGAGTAACTTCCTTTAACGGCTGCCTACTGCATCTGCTGGGGGAATTGCGCATTTCTTTTTATTTGTTTGTAATGACAGAGTTAAGTGCCTTCGGATTTGATTCCTTGAGCATAATTGGATTGTCTCGTTTCAATTAGAAGGATTTTGTTCGAAGGCAAAGGAAGTTTGCTATAGACGACTGACAATTCTTTACTGATGAATAAATAATCAGTTGATTTACTCTCTCTATTACTGATTCACAAAGGCTTCGCACGTCATTCCAAAACGTATGTACATACGCTGAAGTGGTACGGTGTGACAGTGTTTCACTTTTCCCTTTTCGTAATATTTTTTTCATGAAGGCATGGAGTTACAAAGTTTCTTTTAAAACCCCATTGCCGTTAAATTGCTTTGAAGCTGTTTTATAATTTTGTACGCTGACTAAGTCAGCTGTTTTATGCTTTGTAATGTTAATATCATGAAAAATAGATTCTATCTGAAGTTACGTTCGGAAAACAATGTTAAATTCTGCTTCGACTTCACTTTCGAAGATTTCTCACTGTTTGATTCATAAACATCTAAGACGTACAGACGTACGTCTTAGATGTTTACATGAGACCATGTGGTTAGGATTTAACAAATGTTTTGTCATCTGACCAGAAGTCAGGATAGAATATGACTATTTTACTTACTGTTTATATCAAATATTTATTTAAATAGTAAAGTTAGAAATAACATCAAATACCTATACAAGTAGTGAAGGCAACTGTTGCAAGAGTGATGAAATCACAGATGCGCTGACATGGCGCCGACGGATGAGCTTATTACTTAAAGTTATTGGAGCGATGTCTCTGTCAAATACTTATTTATAATATTTTGCTTCTATTTTCCACAGGGGATAGGTGCGTATGAAAAGTTCACTCCTGTTGGAAATACTTTTTCCCCATCAACAAAACGTACTTTACGTATAGTTAAAGAGGCTTGGAAAAAGAAAATATTTTTAACGCCTCTTTTCGGTTCTTGTCATCTGTTGAGAAAGAGAAAATTGATCAGTTTCACCAGTTCAATGGTTACGAAGTACTATATGTATTAAAATAACAGTTTTACTTGTAACCTCTAGACCTTGAAGATACATATAATAGATAATAATGTAACACAGTATGAAGAAAACTGCTTACTATAGCAGAAAAAAGGTTGATATAGGTCCAGGGATCAGAATATTGTTTGTTTGCTCTTGTCTGTCACGCTTTAGATTATCATATTTCGATTTTGGATGATGGAGGTGAGATTTTATTCAATGTTATGATTTGAACGTTTGAAAAAATGTCGTGTTGGCCCGGAGGTTTAAGGCGCCTGCTTCTCATGCATGAGGGTGCGGGTTCGAAACCTACTAAGGTAAGGTACCAATGTGACTTTTGTGTTGTGAGTTATAATATGTACTTTAAGATTATTTAGACAAAGGGTGAAGCAAAACACCGTGAGGAAACCTGAGCTTATAATTTCTAATTATTATAAGTTTGAAATCGCCAACCCGCATTGAGCAAGCGTGGTGATTAATGCTCTAATCTTCTCCGTGTAATAAGAGTCTTTCCTCAGCAGTGGGCATTTATAGGCTGCTGATGATGTGATGTGATCGTTTGAACAAATGTGAAGGATATGCATAAAATAAAGATAACAATGACAACAAAATAATAATAGCTTAATAACAAAGATATGTTCCAAATGGAGTGATTACCTTTAGCTAGCTTATTTACTAATGTGTCTGAACGTAATGTACCTAATAAGAACTGTGTGAGCGGCCTTTTGTAGGAGCCAATAGGCAATATGTTTCACGTCCTTCGGATACCTGACTAATGGCTAGTAACTGATTAGATTTATAAGTTATGGCCTGCCCAGATAAAGTACTAGTGTGGGCGCATGTTGGAGCTCTGCCCATCTCCTCGTTAGTGAAAACTATCAAAACACGAAAACAAAGTTAGTAATATAATTTATTATCTACATTGCTGGTCTATGATATTGACCGATTTGTCTGTATTACTTTTATACGCCAGTGTTAAGGCACCTTGATAAATGGCTGCTTAGTAACGGAATGTATCGGATTTTTAAATCGAGTTCTAAATCTACGCAAACATACAATGCGGAGTGGATAAAGTATGGTTAACATTTGCAAACAATATAGTAATTTTTTTGTTCAAACACTATCAAAAAATAATTTTGAGTATAAATAATATAAGGTTGTATTAAAATAGAATATCATTAAATATGTATAAATAATTTGGTGTATTTAAAATTACGTCATAAGTTAATTTCGTGTTTGAATACAAAAATAGAAAAGGGAATATAACGGTCTTCGTACAGACAATATAATATTTATAACAAAAAATGAAGGCACAATATTATTAAGATGGCAACATTTTTCTTCCTTGTATAGTTTATTTACGAAGAAGGGTCAGTGTACCTGAGTGACGTCACAGGCAGGAGTTATGTCGGACCTTTGAGTAAATATGGCTTTCATTTATCTAGGCCTTCATTTAATTAAACACTTAATGTTATTAAACCCCAGGGAAAGTAGAACAGTGTAAGAAAATTGTGAATCATCGGGTTACTTTTAAAAGTGTTGCGTTTTCAGATTTAAAGAAATTTTTGTCAATTAATCATCAACAGCCTATAAATACCCACTGCTGAGCAAAGCCTCTTCTCACACGGAGAAGGTTAGAGCATTAATCACCACGCTTGCTCAATGCGGGTTGGCGATTTCAAACTTATAATTAGAAATTATAAGTCTAGGTTTCCTCAAGATGTTTTTCCTTCACCGTTTGTCAGTGGTGTCTAAATAATCTTAGAAAGTACATATAACTCGGAAAAAGTCACATTGGTACTTGCCGTTGGTAGGTTTCGAACCCGCACCCTCATGCATGAGAAGTGGGCGTCTTAAACCTCCGGGCCACCACGACATTTTTGTCAATTAATATATTTTTATTTTATTTTTTTATTTACACAATCCACAACCACAGAAAAGATAATTTCTCTTTTCTGTAGTTTTAACCATTGAAACATAAGAACAAAATGTTAGACGGATTTGGTATAGCTTATTTGACTGTTTGCTAGATGTCAATTAGAAAGCACAAAAAAGCCAGTTTATCAAAAAATATTTGTATAAGATTAATTGGGCGTTTTTCTTTCGATTTCGACTGATTGCTCACCTATGTTGCAGTACATAAAACGATAGTAAGTATACATAATTGTATCAAAAATACCTATAAGTGTAACAAGAGTAGTGGAATACGTAACTTCACTTTTGACGTCGATCTTCATGCATCAAACATCACTAGAACGTGAATAATCACATTGCAATGATTGCTATTGTGAATGATCAAAGGGATGCGTCATCATGGACAGAAGTGATGACACAATGACGATACTGATGAAATAGCCAATAAGCAACTTAGCTTCAAAATTCTTAGTGACCTAATTGGACAGTTAATGTTTTTCTATTTTCTGAACACGACTGAACTCTAAGTGCCTATTCCATTAACGGCCAAATATTCGAAATGATATTTTGATTCGGAATTTGACTAACATTAGCAGAAACAAATTGCGTCGACTCCCATTTTAAATTGAATCGACGGCGACGATGGCTTCTTGAATCATTTTAGTAATGTATTTACGTTATTTTTAGCATTTATTCAAAAACCGAAAAGAATTGGGAGACCTATTTTTGTTAAAACATTCAGGCATTCAAAGTAAACAATAATTTAATGAACACGTAATATTGATATCTATTGCTAGTAGGTACACGTAGACTAGATGTGTCCTTGTTGCCTCATTGGATTAAATAACGAACCTAAAAAAGGAAAAAAGCTGTAAGCAGTAAATATTGAAAAATGCTACATTTTTCAATATTTACTTAGTTGACCTTTACAAATTATAAAATACGAAACATAAAGTTTTAATAAATAAAATTATTTTAAATTTTCTGGTACACAACTGGCTAGAAGGAATAGGTATGTAGGTAACCATACGTATAGGTAAGTTAAAGTGATTTACCCAAGCACAATTTGATCCCGTGTTCCAAACAGTAGTGATAGACTTAATCAGTTTCCCACGATAATCCAGTTTCATCTGGACTGGAAGCTTTTTGAATTTGGAAAAACTAGAGTTGAAAATATTGACCGTCGGAATCCGTCAGTCAAATTTTAGTTTTTTCTGTTAAGCCTTTTCTCCCGTAGGGATTGGATAAGGTGCGTATTTAACTTAATACGAAGTCACTAATCTAAACAATTAATAATTCACTCGATTAATGAATGGAACCTGGCACCCTTCGCTCAGTAGTCACATTTATGACTATCCGATAAACAAGACATTGAAATATTTTACGAATAGGAATAAGTAATGGTGCTATTTTTTGAAGTAAGTTCAAAGAAAAATCTGAATAAGAAATGAACTCAATCAAAACTCATTTCCAAGTTATCTTCATTTTATCGGTGTTACATGTAAATATACAGAAAGCTGTGAATTTTCTTCGAAAGACTATAATACGGGAGTAGGTAATTTATAAGAATATTTGAGCCATGTTTCTGAATGATCTAAGTAGGTATAAAATAATTTTCGAAATTACCAAGTATCTCATTTCAGGTAAAAATTCTTAAGTTCTAAGTTTAGTTTGGATTGGCGATGTTTTTTTTCTATACAAGAATAAGTTTTACAGGTTTCACCGACAGACGAACTACGGAAACACCATCAGTAGATCAATAGATTAGTACAAATAAATAAGTAATAACTATAACATGTTTGCCAGTGGACTGTTGTGTGAACAATGTGACATTAACAAAGACGAGAGATGTGTCCAAATATTCCTCCTCCTCACCTCTCCTTCAAGTAATTCAGACATTGTGTTTAAGTTCTTAATCTAGACTTACCTTTCCTTCCTCAGTTCGCTGCTTCTTTTACGGAAACTGGCGACGAGGACCTGCAGCTCCGTGGAGTGATGCTCGTAAAGTTGGGACAGTTGCGTCGTAAAGTCAGCCACTGGAACAAATGTAGGATTCTCAGACAAAAAGTCAAGGACAAGTCTACTTTGTAGGTTCAGCCAGTAACTGATAGAAGACTATTTTAGAATATACTAGCTAAATTGTTTTATTTATTCCCTGAATTATACACTGCTGAGATATAAAATTAAACTCTCTGTCCGTCTATAACATATTAAACTGAAAAAAATCGATACATATTTATCTGCTAATAATAAGATATTATAATACTAAAAGTTCCGCCAATATTAGAATTGAGATGAGGTAATTAACAAAAAGTTCCTAATTTCAAGCACCCTTTACTAAGAAGCAATATCTAGAGGTATATTACCTAATTTAAACAAGCAACCTACAAGAATATTGGTTAAAATAACTAAACACATGCAACATTTGTTCTATAAACTTTAGGATCATGTTTACCAAGAACTTGTATCGAACACACTACCAATACACGTGATTTTACATCGTTCATTATAACTTAATAATGTTAAAAACGAGCATTGTTCACGGAGGTTGAATACATTGGTTAATTACAGGTGCACCCTGAGGCTAAATTAAATAATTTTACGTAGTTGAAAGCTTCGTATTAGTTTGTCAGTGAAGTTTTCCTTGAAATAAGGGCTGGTCTACATTAGTAATTATATTGTTCTTGATTCAAATTAAAATATCTCTTTTGTGAGAAGATTGAAGTGGCTGTTATCAAGTGGACACCCACTGTGTTTTAAAATAGAGATCAACAATTTTTTGCCACATTATGACACATCTTTTAATTCTTGAAGGCCGTTGACAGCGGTATATACGCACTAAGTGACACCCATTTTTCACCAGTCACAGGGGTGATTACTGAGACTATTCCAGACTGCGGACAATCTAACACGTTGCCGGGGCTTTGGCTCAAAGCTGCCGTAGGAACGACGTGGTTTTTAGTCAGTAAGAGTCTGACACTCTTTCTCGTCTTATCTAAGCGGAAAAGTCATTAGATGATTTTTTACCCTCAAATAAGGGGGTGTACAATGAATGTTAGCCGGACGCTTTGTGACATTACTCAATTTTTGAAAAACAGAACTAAACCACAGTACTGCGAAATTGCCTTCCGTAGTCTGGAGGTGTTGTTATTGTAATACATTTTACTATGCGACGATTCTTAGCACCTGCACCATTTCACTGGAACTCGCGACTCGTGTTGAAATTTCAGTCTCCGAAACACGCGACGCGACATTCCGATCGTCTAGTTTTCCGTTGTTTGATCCAAAACTTTAATCTCCTGTCTTGCGAGTGGATTCTAGTTTATACGACACCTTTTCTTTAAAGTAAAATGGTAGATTATGCATTACATTTGCTTATATTAAATAATTTAGATTCAGTAGAGAAAAGTAACTGATATATTTTGCTGAGCATTACACATGCTAATAAAAATCGTCAGATAATGACCGTACCTATAGTAAAAATAATTTAAATTATTATTAAACCATTTATACTAGGTTATTCAAATGAATAATTAATTTTGAAAACATTAGCAAAGCAAAATGGGCGTGTAATTATTTGCCTTTGCGTAACCAAACGGTGTAAATGAACAATACCTACAAATCATGCACAGAGCGTACGTTTTAACAAACTAATTTAATTAGCTGCTGCTGAGTAAATATGTAGGAGGTATTTCATTTAAATGTTGCTCTACTGAAGCCGAAAATTGTTCAAATTATATTCAAAATACAATCCTTTATTCTTTGTTAGTTAAATTGGATGCTTAAAATTGAGTAGGTACTTTTATTCCATGGAAAACGAAAGACATAATAAAGTGGACTTCATGGTGCTACAAAATATTTTGAACATAGAAATCCTCTTGTCTGGCACAGAGTTTGAACTAATTACAAGTTACCTTAAAGGCAGGCAAAATGTACATTCATCACAGCTAATTACTATGCAGGTAAAAAATTAATACTGACTTAGTACACAGACAGTAGGTAGCGATTATTGTACTAAATTATAATTATAGTCCAATTAACCAAGCCATCTTCTGTAACTATTGGACGATTCAGTAGCCAACCAATGGTTACTGTGACTGTACTGAATTAATCCTTTTTCTTCCGATCTCCGGCCACCGTAAGCGCGGGCCTGCGGACGGCGAGTATGGGTGGCTCCCCGTCCGACAAGAAACAGACCCGAGCATACGGCGCGTCGCGGTCCGCGCGCGCCCCAAAGAGCCATCAGACCATCACAGATGGGGCCCAACAGGGCCGATGCCGATTCGGAGTCGCGGAGCACCTAACAGGTAACCGGAGCTCCGGCTCGACGTGCAGGAGGAGGAACGGGGTGGTTTTTAGTCAGTCAAGAGTCTGACACTCCCTCCCGCCTCACCAGGCGGGAACAGTAATTCGATGCCGGCATAGTAAATAGCTATGATGACTCTCCACAAGTCATTTATATATAAAAAAAACTAAATAAATAATTAACTACTTAATTTGATTTAGGTCAGGGATATTCTGAAGGTACCTAATACGATCGCCGCACTTCGCCTCATCGTAATTGCAAACAGCTTTTGTATTAACCCAAGAACTTAGGTATCCACGGCTTCTATTAATCCTAACTTCACTTCCAACAACTACTTTGTAATTTACTCAGAAATCGAGCAAATTTGAGTTATGTGTGTTTAATTAGTTAGTATGTATTGATTCAAGTAGGTACATCTAAACTTCATTAAGTAAATCCAACAAATTTGACCAATGCGGAAAATTGAAAATCTTAATCAACCAATGACCATGGCAATTGGAGATCCAGAATCCACTTTTAGCTAGTTTATTTGAATGATTATTTTAAATATAGAAAAATTTACGTGTGAGGATTGTGGTTTGCGCCCATCTTCGTAAAAGATTTCATAAGACGAATTTAGTATGTTTAATAACGAAACGAAGGTACATTAATAAATTTTCTGGGTTATTCAAAAAAATGCGCGATACATATACATAACTTATGTCAGTAGGTAATATAGAAAAATTGTTTCATCAGTAAATCATATTCCGAAAATTGAATGCGAGGGAATTTTAGCCTGTTATGTTAAAGGCCTGGTTTCATGAATTATGTACGGAATATGGTAAAACGTCAAGATGTTACACCCTGCTACAATGGTGAGATCAATATTATAATGCAGTGAAACGAACCTTTTTTTATCAAGTGCGGTTTATTTTTAGACTCAGGCGCGTAAAGCCGAAATGATCACTTGAAGGTCCTTAAAATATATTTTCCTTTTTATTCGCTACACATTCGCAACTTTCAGTTTGTGGAGTAAATTGATGGGGTTTACACCCCTATGCTGAACCGAGTGTAAAATAAAATAAGAGCATCGTATGGCAACATAATATTTAGTTTTAATACCATTTTTTATTTATCTTTTTATTTTGGCTGAGACTTATAACAATCAATACAATTATAAATAAAAGATGTTTACGAATAGTTTAATTTCTACCAAGAAGCGACCTCTAGTTTGTACAAATTGACTTTATAAACCTAATTGAATTATTAAATCAGAACTCCGAGTGAGAGTGTCCATTTTATTATTGTTCACCAGTTTAATAAATTAAAGTAGTTTATTATTTACTGAACTTGAAACGACCTCTATATCAAGCTGTCTCTTCTAATAATTTATTCATAGAAAACAAGTATCGTATATTCTTGGAAAATAATAAAGGTTCGCAATCATAAAGTAAATAAATCGTTCCCTTGGTTCCCATTACAGTGACTTCAGGACAGTAAGAACACTGAAACTTTAGTTAGAACAGAGTAAAAATAAAGTTAAAAGTTTTCACAAGTTTCGAGACGTTCGCCCCTGACCAAAGTCTTTCGATTCTGAATATTCTATGTAGGTAACAACGGCTTTGCAAACTTTATACATTTTATATAAAGTCATGCATAGAAACAGAAAATTTTTGGATCTATCCTGGCTGAGTAGGTAGCGTGAAAAGATAAATCAGTCTAGATAGGGCGACGTACTTCGGAATCCCTTTAGAACTTTATTCGTGCTCTTTACAAAGAGCTTTATTAAACACTAGCGTTTCGCCTACGACTTCGTAAAATGTAGTTACGGTACATAGGTACACACACATACGTATTAGGTACGTGTGTAAAACCGTCGTATAAGAAACGAAATAGTTTCAGAGAGTACCTACACATATGAATAACACTAAAACTTTTAAAGGTTACATCCCTAGGTAGATCAATGTATTACTGATATATCGAATTTTGAAAATATTACTGATAAAGGTAACGTATCCCGTAACCTTTCACAAGAAATGTGCCCGGTATTTGGGCGAATATTTAAATCCAGATTGAAATGGTGTCAAGATAATGAGACTCAGATTAAGATGGATTTATTGGCTTCACATCACTCGAAACAAGATTTTAAATCCTTCTGGAAGGCCACTCAAAAGTTAAATGCAAAGCCTGGCCTTCCTGTGTGCGTCGACGGAGTGAGTGATTCGAAAGAGATTGCCGATATCTTTATGAATCACTTCAGTGTGAAATCGCCGCTGGGGCCACCGTCGTGGGTGCTCGATGTTGAGGTTGGAATGAAGCTGGAAACAAGGTTTAGCGCCAAGGAGGTAGAAAAAACAATTGTTTTCAATGTCGAAAGGAAAATCCCCCGGCCATGATGGCCTTAGCATTGAGCATCTACGATACGCGGTCCGCATTTGCCTAGCATTGTCCATGTTTTTTGCATTGTGCATGAGTCACGCGTATTTGCCAGCCGAAATGTTGAGGACTCTAGTAGTACCTGTTCCGAAAAACAAGACTGGCGATATGGCCGATAAAAATAACTATAGACCTATATCATTGCGACGATTGTTTCGAAGGTGTTTGATAGTTTGCTTAATACGCAATTAAATAAATGTATACAACCTCATGATAATCAATTCGGGTTTAGGCCCGGATTGTCTACAGATAGTGCTATCTTGTGTCTTAAGCAGACTGTCAGATATTATATGGATAGAAAAACGCCCGTGTATG